GAGGGACTTTGTCTGGGGCCCAATATTCACTGATAAATAGATGTCTTTTGGTGATTCAGAGCACAGAAATGAATCTGAATAGACAAGTGCAATCATCAATCCCACCAAGGTTAAGTAAAGTAAACATTTAACACCTTGAAGATCTGAGTCACGCCTTAGGCCAGAAAACCATACTGCTGATATGAGGGACTCCAAGAAAGGAGGTGATAAATACCAATTATGACCTAAAATGGCTTATGCATGGTGGGACAATAGTTGCCAGACTGGCTCTCTTATATAAACTCTTCTGTAAAATTGCAGCCATGTAGCAGTTTGGAGTGTTACGGATTAGAATTCATGGTGCACTAGAAGGACTAAATTAAGCCCCTCATTTCTTTAGATTAAACTGCTTCATTTCTTTGCCCTCATCTCTCAATTAACACAATGATCAGAACAGACAGAGAAGACACTGCTTCATGTCAAGCTTGTCAAGCATGATCTCTCTAACATAGTGTATATGTTCGTCCCTAATACACACTTTGGCACAGTTATTAGAACTAGCTTGAAATTCACATGTGTGATGAAGATGGTCAAGGTGTTTATGGGGAAACTATGGAGGATAAGGATGGATGGGTAATTATTTCCTAATTAATCTTAAATCTTGAGATCCTTATTTATTTTGTCAGATAGTCAAAATGGGATAGAGTACTTATTACCCACAAAAACAGTCAAATTTGAAACTTTTAGGTTTTCTTTTCTTTCCTGCTATTCTTCTTATGTCTTTGTCCATCCAGTCTGTTATCAGACTAGGCAGCTCATAAACAGCAGATACTTATTTCTCACAAATCTGAATATTCACAAGTTTCCCTTAAAAGTGCCAGCAGACTTAATGTCTGGTGAGAGACCGATTCCCGATTCAGACAGCCATCTTCTTGCTGTACCTCATAAGATGCAGAGGTGGGGAGAGCTCTCTGGGATTTCTTTTATAAAGTCATTAGTACCAGTCAGATGGCTTCACCCTCAGACCACCAGATCACTAGATCACCACCCAAAGACCCTACTTTGAATTCCGTCACCTTGAATTAGGTTTCAAGATAGAAATTTTGGAGGGACTCAAACATTCTATGGCACTATGATTCTTCATTCTACCTCCTGGGAACATTTGCCAGATATACATTTTGCATTAAAATTCCTTTTAGCTGTATTTTTAAGTGAGCCTACACTATAATTATGATATGAATATGCGTTTTTCTGTGTATAAATTACCTAATGTTATTATTATCTCCATGTGTCCATACATCTGTTAGTTTGTAAAGCGTCAGAATAGATAAGCTCTCCAGAAATGTGAAAATAAAAGAAGGCTGAAGAAAAATCTTACAGGACCACATTTTGGAAAAAGAAATAGAGGAAGAGATTATGGAGGAGCAAGAAGATATGGCCATTGAATGAACTGAATGAATGCCCACATTCTATATGTTGGAAATTGGAATAGGTGTACTTTCAAATATCAGGATCATCCCCAAATCAACCTTAAAATATATGATAATTTGAAAGCATGTATTGAGGTGAAGGAAGTAAATAATTTTTAAAGCCATTATTTGCAAGCAAGCACAAAACACTTTCTTTGATGGTACATTCTTTCAAGCTGGAAACACAAAATAAATATTTAGACAGACATAGTGTACAATGGGCAATTTCAATAGGTCTGCAGCAATGTGGTCTTGGTGGTAAGTGCATAGTTTAGATTTCAGTTTTATTTGATTTACAATTAAATTAATGTAAATTTACAATGATTCAGGGGAAATACTTTAAAGAGCAAGGGTAGAAATCGTGACATTTCCTTAAGTAGAGGTTTTTGGGAATTTTAGCTTTCTAGGATAATATTTTCACAAGTATGTTTAGATTGCTAAAAAAAAAATAATGAAAGTGCAGCTGTTTTCTGTTCTCTGTGTCTTCTGTGTGAATGAATAGTGCTTGTATTGATTTTCCCACCAGGGTATGAACCATGCTTAATATAGTCTGTGTTCTTTGTCTGGACTTTTCTACATTTCACTAACTCTCAGAGCGCTCTGAGACCACAGTACTGGCCCTAAAGAATATGATTATTTATTTTCTTATGTATCTTTTATATCTGAGTGTTGATAAACATGAGGAACGTATTCCTTGGGTTAAGTATGATGTGTAGTAGCTAATGTTATTTTTAAATTTTGGACAAATGTTACTATTTTATAAGATGAAGTGTTTTTAGATTTTATATGCCATCAATATATGCAAATACATATGAGTATATAAATTCATATAAGAAAAACACCGTATCTATGGAATTAATTACTCCATAAATGAATACCTAGTGTATTGACAAAAGTAGGACTGAGAACTATGAATACAGAAAATTGTTATTATTCACTAGAACTCCAGCGACTTTAACAATGATTACAATATAGCAGTGAATGTAGTTTGTTTTTCTTGTACTAATACTAAAATACTAAGCTTCTGTTTTACCTGTGAAGAGCTCAGCAAATAATCTTAATGTAGAATAAAAAGTCCATATTTTAAAAAAGAAAAATCTTGAATTATTAGGAGAGCCTTCCAAAACATTTCTCCATGTATTTGTGCATATGGCAGGGGGCAATTGAGCCCGCACCTTCTCAGTTATTACTCTATACCTGAGAGACAAATGATGCATTTGAACACAGTGACCTTCTGCCCATTCATGGAGAGCAACTAACACACAATCCAAAGCAGAATAGCTCCAGTGGTAGTGATCTTCCCTGGAAAACATCTGCTACCAGCTGAGAGTGTTTACTTTTTGGCAGTGCTGGCAGATGTGCTGTGGACAGCCCATCTGTGTGGTGTTAGGAGGCTGGAGTTAAGGAAGCAGGGTTGGGCAGACAGTATAGAGAGAACATATTATAACATACTGAGTCGTTCTAGAAAATGCAAACTAGCACCTCATTGCATTTCTTTCTTCTTATACTATTAACGCTTAAAGCTAACTAATGTGTGTGCAGTAAAGTTCAGGTTTGCATTGTTCTTAAGAATACAACAAAGGAATGATGATCTTTTAGAAAAAAGTCATTGTTAATGCAAAAATTAATATTTAGAGAATAAATATATCAGTTGAAATAATTTTTATATTTGAAAATAGTATTAAAAAAGTATTTTGTTCAAGGAAAGAACTAAATAAACATAAGCACTTCTGACTGAAACTCTCACCTGGATCTCTAGAACATAATTTCATACTCATATGAGTGATATATATGTATATATATTATATATATACAACCTGTGATTTTTTCAAACAAGAAGACATTCCTTTCTTCATTACAATGTATCTCAGATCTTTTATTATCTTAATATATTTTCTTACTCTGCAAGGAAGATTTATATAGAATTGTCATTGACAGAGTGCATTTTTATGGAGAATGTCCTTGATTGGTAATCTCTTGTGTAACACTAAGAAATTCTCCTTTGGTAATTAAGAGAGAAACCAAAAATCTAGAAGCACAAAATTAAAATAAAATTCATTTTGGCATTGAATTCTTTCACATAATTTTATTGATATTCCTGAAATTAACCACCAAGACTGAAAGAGAATAGGTCAAACAACAATGTTATTTTTTTATAACTGATATTTGTAAGTATACACATATAAGTATATATATTTATATATGTGTGTGTTTATATATATATATGTGTATATACACCCACATATATTTATATATTTATATGTGGGTGTATATATTAATATGTGTATATATTTGTTTTCATGGCCTTGTACACCATGAAGGTAGTAAATAGAAGAAATTTTTTCTTCATTTGGAGTTAGGTTAATCCCACTCCCAGGAAGTTAAGAGAACTTAGTAAAAATAAAAATCTATATAAAATAGATAACAGCCATCTGCAGAAGTTCAACCTTAAAATTTCTGTAAATAATTACAGATGGAGATGAATAAAACACCCAAATTTAATCAAAAACTTCATATAGGAGTTTATAATTACACTTTGAAATAGATGTAATATACTGTGTGATCCATAAAATCAGGTTCTAACAAATGGGTAATCCAGCCTACATGAAAAAAGTATAGAGTTTGGGGCCAACATTTGCAATGTTTATCCTGCAACATCCAGAGCAGAGTCCTGATCTAGAAGGTATAGATCCTCTGATTACTTGTGATGACTGTTCTACTTTGGAATAAGGATTATTTTATTAGACTGTCCCAAAGCCTAAATTATATATCTCTCCTTTATACTTACTTATACTTTTGATCTGTGCTCAATAAATAATATCTTATTTACAAACTTAGTTTCCTGGGAAGTTTCTTGCCAGTTAAAAAGAGGTGACATCAAAATGAGATGATTAAGATGGTAGACAATGAAGTCAAATTCCTTGAATTCAAATCCTGGTTCTCTTGCTTCTGAACTGGGTGACCTTCAGCAAGTCATATGATCTCTCAATCTCATTTGTAAATGAACGTATACAGAGCCACTCTCATAGGTTGATGATGAGGTATGACTGTATTCTAATAATAAATATGAATTAAGTCATTGTCTATCGAACTTTGAAAGGAGTAGGTAATTCACAAATTACCTTATGTGTACATATATTGATAACATCTAATTCATTCACCACTGTTAATAGCTCATGATTGGTTTCTAGCACAAATTTCAAAATTGCAGAGTGCTAAAACTGACCTCATGAAAGTAGTAAATAATTTCCAGAGAAAATAGTGTGGAGTTGGAAATTTAAGTTTGCCAGTTATAGAAAGCCAATGAAAAAGTTTAAACATGCAGTTTTACAGAATCATCTCCTGGATAGTAAACTGCAAAGAGTAACAAGTGGATATAAAAGCAGTTGAAATCACAAGTTAAAAGGCAGTCATATGAATGTGTAGTGTGTAAAGAACTTCTTTAAAAGCTTTGAAGCTGAAGAGACCCAGTTATATTTAAATATAAATTGGATTTGTATACATTATTGAAAACACAAATTGAAACTATTTATTAATACTCTGTGCACCACAATAAACAAAATGCACTACACCAAAATTGTCAGTTTTCTTAATGTTCATGGGGCTTTTGATATTATTCCTATTCCCATGTATACACCTATAATAAATTACTTGAAAAATTCCCAGTGGTTGGGGGTAAATGAGGCAGGAAAGAAAAAAAAAAACACATACACACTAGCTAAAGTTTATTAAAAGCTATCACATTATATTGATTTATCAAGTGAAACCAAGAGTTTTGATATACGAGATAGGAGAAAAATGGAAAAAAAACAATATTTAATTTATTTTACAATTTTACAAATGATAAAATAATAACACCCAGTTGCTATACGTAAACAATAGGGCAACAGTGTTAAACAGAATGTACTTGACAGAATAAACCTCACCTTTCAGTGCCACAATGATACAACAATTACTCAGTAGCAATTCTCCTGTGCAGCAATGCTATCTCTGTAAACTCTTTTTTCCTGCTATATACATTTGAAACACTTGTGCTTTTGCCTACACAAAGAAATAGTATTTATTAAAAGGTGCTGATTAAATGGGAGACACAGGGCCTGGAGCCACAATCTGAAAACTGGATTTAAAGACTTTTTTTTCTTTTTTTTCTTTGTTAAGATTTGGACAGACTAGACCCTTACTGTAACTCTAGATATGAACAACATGAATTCCATTATAAAGAAGATCCCTCTTAAAGCAGGTTAGTAACTGAAGTCTCAAAAGAACTTCTTATTCTAAAGTGGTCTTATCTCCAGAGTGCTTGACTGTGCAGCCTCTAAAGATGCTAACTTAACACAAATCTAGAGTGTGCACATTACAGATTCAGTGTGTGTACACACAAACATATATAACATTGTATATATGCATCACACATGTCCTTTGTACTATATAGATATATCTATAGCACATATATAATAAAATATCTATTTCTAGATGGGCTTTATTTGGATTTTCTTTTATCAAATACAAACAATATCCCTCTCAATTTTTAAAACATTTCTATATTAATAATATCTGATGGGAAAATTTTCAAACTTGTAGAGGTAACAACTAACTATACATAACTCTTCTTACACCCTTTCACAAGTATAGATACTCCCTACAATAACCACATAAAAACAACTCTTTTATGAACCAAATAACACATTGTATGCATTATGAATAACTGGCTCAATAAGGAATAAATTACTTTGTTCACCCTTTTCCATGTAGTAGCTTAATAACTAGTTGGTATGTACACTACCCATAGCATTACTTAAATAAATTGCTTCTATAAGCATAGAATTTCCCATTAGCAATTGCTATACATTTCATATGATATACAATACATAAAGACATTTGAATGCCCAGCACCTTCTTTCAGATAGAAAAACTTCCACAATAATTGAATCAATCATCCACAGGCTGAATCATTAGATTTGCCCATAAAATCTATTACTGATTCTTTTTTTTTTTTTCATTTCAACAACTTAATTTTAAGTATAGAACAGGCTGGGTAATAATGATGAAATGTTTCCATGGCCTATTCATGTTAACAGCACAATAACAATCATGTTCCCTAAAGGACAGGAATATTTCACGATCAGCTGCCTGAGCATTGCCAGGTACAGGGTTAAATATAAAAAGAAATTAAAAAAAAAAACCTGTGAACATTTGATAATTTTAAAAGAATAAAACCCAGACAGTTCAAGTACGTGTTTATAATCGGATTTTATCATGCTCCTTAGTGCCCCCTTGCCAGTTAGACCTCAATTATTTTCTTATTCTTGCTGTTAGCCTTCCATGATCTCCTTGCCCTCTCCGATAAGAAGGCCACAGTAGCTAGAAAGGAGGAGGGGAGATGGAAAGATATACAGTAGGGAATGAAATGGTCTTGTACAGTTTGTCTTCTTTGAACACTAAATGCCTTTAATTGAATTCATTCTTGAGTACTGTAGGTTCCCTGAGATGAACAAAAGTAGTCTCAGTCAATACTGAAGCCCTTTTTAGAAGCTGAACTTTTTCAGAACTGGGCAACATATTTCGAGAACACAAAGCATAGGGCAACACAGCAATGAGAAGCTAAAAAGGCACTACTCAATGCATCCATGAGATAAACACCAATGCACAGAAAAGTGAATGACTGGGATACTTTTGTTGTGGCCTTAAAATTGTTTAAATACATTTGCTGAAAAAGCAGTAAAGTTGGCAAGGTACCTGCTGCTGCTTTTTTCAAGACATACTTGGAATGAGTTTTGAGATGGATTTTACCTAAGAATGTACTTGTGACTTCAAGATATCTTTGACTTCAAGTTAAAGGTTACTCAACCAACTTATTCGCAGTTAGTCAAATTACGGTTTTTAACTCACCTACTTTTGATTTGAGAAAATCAGACTTTTCAATCTTGCATTCGGAACATGTACCCAATTCGTTTTGTATATTTTCCTAGCTCAAAGACTTAATGATGAAATTATATCATGGTCTATCCATTTTAAGCTATATCCCCCCTTTATGTAGTCCATTTTGTTTTCTTAGAGACATATGACTTGTCAGAAAATACAGCTTTCTATATCCCAAGGGTCTATCAATTTTAAAGAATAATACTGCATATTATTAACATATTGAGAACAATACTACTGTGAGTATCCTTTTCTATGATAGTGTGTGTGTATATATATGTCTATACATATATATTCTCCATGCTTTTTATTATTTTTTTCAGACTGTCCTCCCTAAGAAACAAAACATACACATTCCCCATGCTATTTCTTCTTTTTTCAGATGCCTTCTCTAAGAAACAAGAAGTCATTTAAGTTATTTCAGGCCAAAAGTAGAAGTGGAAACACAGTGCTTCTGCTTTCTAAAGAAAGAATACACCAACTAGAATGACCTACCAGCATAGTATAAGTTACCAGAAAACTGACCTATAGGTCAGTCAAATGTCAGAAAATTTTTAAATCGCTTCATCAATAAGGTCATGTGTTTCTTTGCAAACACATTTACGTGATAATGCAAATGCATTTAACTACAGAAAAAATATTAGTCAACCTAATTCATTTGAAGTGCAAATTACAGAAACAGAATGCTATTGTCAAAGCTCTTAAGATGAATCCCCTCTGTATGGAAACAACACTATTAATCATATTATTTTTGCACTAAGAAATTTAACAAAGATATAAAGGGCATGACAATCTTTCCATTTGAATAATAAGAGGAATATCAAAGAACTGGAAGTCACCTTTCAGCTCTATTAATCAAACACTTATTAGAAGGGATAAAATGCTTCCACAAAATAATTATGAAATGTAAAAGTTATGGAAGCCTTCTTTCGAACAAAAATGAATTTTGACTTTGAAAAAATTTAAGTATCTAGAGAAAACTTTCACATTGGTAGCATAATAATATATTAATATATTCATGAAAGAAGAATGGCTGTGTAGAAACACCAGTATAATCTTTGGTACCAAAAGTACATTTTTCTGCTAATTTTACCATCTCAGATGACAGAACACCATTCCATCAGAACGGCTCAAGATTACTGAGTGGTACAGTTTAGCTGGTACCCTCTACACCACTGGGAAAAAAATCTGGAGGTCTAGAGTTGTGCAAAATAATTTTTTTTACAAAGTCACTGTGTGACTGCTCTTTAAGAAACAAAACTTGGGTCTCCCTGGTGGCGCAAGGGGTTAACATGCAACCTATGAAACTGTCCACAGCCACTGAAGAATGAGTTCAATCCCTGGCCAGCCAGGGAGCTACCCACATGGCGCACCAGACCTCTCCTGACTCACTTGTTGCTCCCCTCTGCCTTGTATTTCAGTTAATCTAACTGCTCTGTTCCCCAGCCTGTCTCTGGTGAATCCTCTCACCCCCCACACATCTGGCCTGTACCCCAGTTCTTGTATGCATAAATAAATAAATCTTTAAAAAAATACAAGAACTTTAAAAATGATACTTGAAGATTATTTATCTCATTCATCTTTATCTCAGAAATGATTTCTAAGCACCCCAATATCTAAGCCAAAAGAGATTCCAGAAGACAAAGCAAAAACAGAAACAAAACATAAAATTCATGATCAGACTTAGCGTCCTGACCGAAGGCATTTGCTTGAGTTGTTTAATCTTGTGGATTTCACTGCTCAGATATTTTCCATTTTGATTTCTTCTGACAATGGTGGTTTGATTTCCCCAAGGGCTGAGTTGTGTTCCTGGGTTCCTCTTCTGATGTGCTTGGCATTGCAGTGGCAGTCCAACAGTGATGAACATATTTGCTTCATTAACTAATGACAAGTGCATTGTTGGATCTTGTAAACACTACTGATTATACATTCAAACTGTGTTCTTAGTGGAAGTGGCACTTACTAGGACCCTTGAAGTCAAAATATTTAATTTTTAGAGCACTTTGCAGGCATTTCATCAGCTGGTAGTGAATTTCTCATGAACGTCCTTAATCACCTTCCGGTTCATTGGTGGATGCTGAAACCCAGTCTTGTTTTGGATCCTATTTTCAAATCTTAGGAAGCATCTTCAGAAAAGAAGTGCATATTCAGTTTGTTTGTAAGTCTTCAAATGTGCTTTATTGCTTTACACACTTTCCTGTTGTCAGTTTTAGAGCTCCTCTATTATGTAGCACATTTAATGTTTTAAATTCTAAGGGCATTCTGTGCGGACTTGCATTGGAAAAGTACCTATATTTTAAGTCATCATAATAATGATATTTGACAGCTTTCCCACTCAGATCCTTAGGGAATGGCCAGAATCCATACAGGTGGATTTCATCACAGAATCTTGTGGCAAGTGTATACATGAGGAGACCCGTGCTCGGTCTTTTGATGGGAACTTTGTTTGTCAGCCAGTAACTATAAAGAAAAGGTGGGGGAAAGGAGAAAATTTAGAAATTTAGAGAAATACACAACATATCACATAAGTATATTATGTAGAATTAAAGGAAAATGAATTTGTATTATATATTAATAAGTAACATTCAAAGGATTGCTGGAGAAATAATATATTTCTCAATCGTTTAGAAAATATGATGTATTTTTTCTATTTTTCTCTAGACTTCATTTTCTTGCTTTTTTTTTTTAGATGTGTTTAGGCATACAAGAACTGGAGTGTAGGCCAGAGGTGGAGGGGGGCGGGGGGAGGTGAGAGGATTCGCCAGAGACAGAGTGGGAAGCAGAACAGGCAGATTTACTGAAGTACACTGCTGAAGGGAGCAGCAGGCAAGACAGGAGAATTCTGCTGTGCAGTGTCGGTAGCTCCCTGGGCAGGGATCGAACTCATGCAGCAGTGGCTGGAGATAGCTTGATAGTGCTGAGACTTTAACCCCTGCGCCACCAGGGAAGTCCTTCCTGCTTATTTTTGAGGGCAAATAGAGTGGGCCTAGAGAGCAAGTGGGATTACTGTGGGATATTGTATTCAAAATGAATTATCAGCAACTATTTATATAATATACATAGTAGACTCTTCTCAGAAGAAGCTAAATATGACAGTAAAAGACACAGTAATCAGTCAAATATTAAGTAACTCTCTAAAAATAAATTGGAAACTATAGCATTGGGTTTTCAAAAATCTCAATTATTCCAATTAAAAATACAAGCTTCCTGCTAATCTAGAAAACCTAAATAAGGGACCAGGAAAAAGAATAACTATAAGAGGGCCTCCCCAGTGGCGCAGTGGTTGAGCGCTGGGTTGCGAAGCTGCCCACAGCCTCTGCGGCTCCGGTTCGATCCCCGGCTGCTCCCCGGCCACCGGAGGAGGGTCCCGCGTGGTGCGCAGACCTCTCCTGCCGCCCACTGCTCCCCTCAGCAGTGTACTTCGTTCCTTCTGCCTGCTCTGCTCCCCGCTCTGGCTCTGGTGGATTCTCTCACCCTCCTGTGCTTCTGACTGTACCCAGTGCATGTATAAACAAAACAAACAAACAAACAAATAAAACATGCCTCTATAAAAAAATAAAATAAAATAAAATAAAATAAGTTTAGCATATTATATAAAAAAAAAAAAAAAAGAATAACTATAAGAAAGAAAAAATCAAAATCAACAAACAACTATGAACCCCAGACACACTATATGGGGGGTGGGGGCAGGGAAAGGAGGGATGGGGTCAAAATAAGGGGTTTGCAATTGTACGGGGAATATAAAAATAAAATTTTAAAAAATGTAAGCTAATGAAAGCTTTGCCTGAATTACACTGACTTATTTAACCTGAATTGTCTGAGTCACATTTTACTAAAGCTAATTTAAAACATTAACGCAACTCAATGAATGGCAAAACAAATAACATATACTAGTTTACCACTACATAATTTAAAATTTTGTTAAATAGGTAAAATGCATTTCATTACCAATAACTATTTTATACTACATTCCAAAATGTTCACATACATCGCTGTTGCCCAATATGTTCACCTGAGAAGCCTGTAGGCTCAAGAGTCAATCATCCCCTATGGAGGGACGGGGGTTTCCAGGGCTTCTTAGCCTATTCCCTATCTGACTTGGAAACAGCTGAAAGAGGAAGGGTGTAGATTTTCTCTTACTTTCAAAGTTCTCCAATTAAAAATAGAATTAAGTAGGTAATTTATTTTATTTTTGTTTTTATTATTGTCTTATTTAGGGAAATATATACAGTGCCATTCAAACAGAAGGGGCAGATTATGTTAGGTTCTGTTTGTAGCTGTATTTCAACACTTGTGTTAGATTTTACATGTTTGTTTGTTTGTTTTTTAATTTGTTTTTTTTTTTAATTTATGTAGACTACTGAATATGAAAAAGCCAAAGGGATATTTTATCTATTTTAAAAAATATTGATGGATTGGACGGACCTGCCTGGTGGCACAGGGGGTTAAGCACCGCACTATACAGCAACCCGCAGCCTCTGCAGCACGAGTTCAATCCCCAGCCGGCCAGGGAGCAACCCACATGGCAAAGCAGTCAGTCTGTCTGTTCTGTTCCCTGCTCTGTCACTAGTGAATCCTCTCACCCTCCCACACATTTGGCCTGTACCCTGGTTCTTGTATAAATAAATAAATCTTTAAAAAATAATAATAATAAAATAAAAAAAAATTGGATATTTAACATCTTAACCAGGAAAAATATACTTAGTCATTAACAAGCCCTGTTTCCCTTTGTTCCCCAGTTCTTCATAGCAGAGTTGATCTTTCACTTTTTTGTTGTTGTTGTTGGGTGAAGGCCACAAAGTTAATGATTTGAGCAATGTGAAAAACATGAGATACCTTTTGCTATCACAAGTGTTTTGAGAAAATCTAAATAAAGTTCATAAGGAATTTTCAGAAAAAAACAAAAAACAAAAAAAACAAACACAAGAGAACAACCCAAAGATAGCTAAACAAGCAAATCCCAAAGCTTTCATATTGTTAACATCATGAAGAAGCCAGACTCTGATTCCATACAGACAGCATAGTCAAGCTACAATTCAAAGGCATCAAACGGAGGCCTCCCTGACTGCACAGGGTTAAGTCTCAGTGCTATCAAGCTATAGCCAGCCACTGAGGTATGAGTTCCATCCCAGGCCAGGGAGCTAACCTTACATGGCATAGCAGATCTCTCCTGTCTCACCCACTGCTCCCCTCAGCAGTGTATTTCAGTAGATTCGCCTATTCTGCTCCCCATTCTGTCTCTGGTGAATCCTCTCATACTCACACTTCTGGCCTATGCACCAGCTCTTGTATGCATAAATAAATAAATCTTTTTTAAAAAAGGCATCAAACAAACTAATACAGTTTGAAACTTTCTCAGTTCTGAGGAAGTAGGTGTTCTTAACATGAACTGATTCTTATGAGACAGTTTTTGAGGGTGATATGTATGTGGCTACAAATGTCAGTTGATGCAGTTGGTTAGCTTATAAATTTATTTATAAATGTTTAAGATGGGTGAAGCAAGTTAAAACTCAGTTAAAAATGATAATTTCCTTCAAAAATGTCAGTGATTGTGACTAGTTTGACACTGAGGTCATGCTAACTTACCTCATTTCTAAAGTGCATAACAGATAAATTTCTCAGGAAATTAAAAAACAGAAAATGAAATATTGCTACATTATTAGTACAGAACACCAAGGTCACATTATATGAGACTCCAGTATCACATTATAAATACATGTTTTCCATTTCCTAATTCTGGAGAGATTTCCTTGAAATTCAACGATGGTTGGTCATAGACAAAATACCAAAGCAACTTTTACATATATAGTACATTAGAAACTGTGATGTTAGAAATACATGCTGAAGATAAAATTGTTTTTTTTTTTTTTTAAAAAAAAAAGATTGATTTATTCATGCACACAAGAGCTGGGGTACAGGCCAGAGATGCAGGGGGTGAGAGGATTTACCGAGACAGACCAGGGAGCAGAACAGGCAGATTGACTGAAACACACTGCTGAGGGGAGCAGCGGGTGAGACAGGAGAGGCCTGCCTCACCATGCGGGTTTCTCTCTGGCCTCCAGGAATTGAACCCATGCTGCAGAGGCTGCGGATCGCCTCATGGTGCAGTGTTCAACCCCTTGCACCACCAGGGAGGCCCTGAAGACAAAATTGTTATCTTAAATGTTTCAAAACAATGTTAAAGATGTACAATTACCCAACATTTTTTGAACCAGTGTACTTTATAAGATTCCCCAAATGAAAAAAAAAAAAAATTCCCCAAATGGAAAAACAGTGAGGACATCTTAATTCTCAAAGAGCTAGTATCCCAAAAGAGGAACTGGCAAATGAGCATCATAGAGACATCTATCTCAAAAAAATAGAAAAATGTAATTCTTGGTACTATTCTCAAGTCTGTGGTGCTTCTGTAGTAAGAATTTTATGGAAAAAATAAATTTGTGCATTTGTAAATAGGGATTTATATACTGGGCTATAAATTAATTGATATTAAGAAAATTTATTTGAAAACTATACTCTGATCACAAAGCACCCTATTAAAAAAAGAGTGGGTAAAGAGACTTTAGAAACTGGTTGTAAATTAATCTATATGCCAGTTAAAATACTGGTGTTAGCTTTGCTTTGGACATGCTAGCTGAAAAAGAAATTAAGCTTCATGATGCTTGACTTATAACAATAACTCAAAATAACTCAAAAAAAACCCCACAAATCACCTTTTGTCAAGACAATTTTGGAGAAACTATACAAAATAAATGCCACTTATTTCTAAAAATTTCACAGATAAACAGACTTTAATAAATGGAATCAATATGTAACAGAAAAATTCAGACAAAACTTGAAAGCAGATCAAGAACTAAGACACAACTAATTTCCAGTTTATCATTATTGTAATAAATGCTGCAATACTTATCTTTATGCAGAAAAAAACAAATTTAAAAACACAGGAGCTGATGCTATTTCATTCAGTAAGAGCTTACTATGCATATATCTTAAATTCTAATGTTGTACTTGAAATTGTGTAGGTCAATCTAAATTATTGAGATTCAGTATTTACCAGAAACATATGTCACAGGTGAAAGGGACAAAAATGTATATTCCTTTTTAATTCTATTAGTATAACTAGTTAGATAGTATCTGTCAATATTACAAGATAAAGAAAACTTATAGTATAATTTAAAAATCCCACTCTGAAAGTATCTACTTTATATGTACATCCACATAAGCTTAAAAACTAAAAATTTCTTGTGAGGAGGTTATCAAAACTAGCATATCTATTTTTTAAATTTTTTATCCTAGTTAGGAAAACTTTGAAAACAATCAATTGATAAAATAATGATATATTCATACTCAAAGTCAATACAAATTCTTTTCAATTTTATCTCAAATTCATATCTGTTATAGTTTAAAATTTAGTAATGTTTTCAGTACAGCAAATTGTCTAGTCCCCATGAATGCATTTATTT